GAAACGACTACACTTACCATCAGCATTACAATTATTATGAAATAGATGAGAGTTATCCGCCCTTGGCCAATGAACAGGAAACTATATTTGTAACGTTATGATTGGCGTCTATTTCCATGGCTGTCTTACACTTGTGAACTTGTGCCAGTTGAAACTAATGTTTAGTATGTAACTATATCCGTTGATGTTTTCGGTCACGCGTTAAGCATATTTGATCTGATAACAACTTTATTTGGAGACATGTTTTTTTTTCTTTTTGCATGCAGTAGACAAAACGTGGATAGAAGCGGGTTTCTTTCAAAAGTTTTTTTTTTTTTTAGATGGGATATCAACTCAGAGGTGAAAATATCCTTCGCCAGGAATAAAATCATTTTGAGTTCTTCGACTTTAGCAATGCATCTTTTGTGTGTGTGTAAATAACACATCGATGGCTTTTAACTTACTTTATCCGATTATTGTGTCTGGAGCTGTTCTTATCTTTAGTCGTGTTTCACATTTGCTCAAAAAAAAAGAAAAAAAAAGAAAGAAAAAGATGTCAGTGTTTGTAGGATTTCGGATAATTTGATTGCTCCTTTTTTCATTCATTTTTTTCTTTTTCTCTTATATGTCACCTTTTTAGTTTTTTATAGACATTTTCTTCCTACATTTTTACTCACTTTATTGCTTTGATGTTTCTAAATTTACTGCAGTTTTGAATATTTATTTATTTCTTCCTTTCTTTCAAAAAATATTTATTTTTCTCTATATTTCTCGCATCTTTTAATTTCTTTCTGCTTTTTTATTTTCTTTCTTTCTACATTTTTATTGTCTTTCTTCTTTGTAATGTTATTTCCTTTCATTCTTTCTCTTTTACTTTTTTCTGTATTTTTATTTAGTTTGTTTCTTTTTATTTCTGCTCTTTCTTTAATTACCAACAATATTATCACTAATGTATAAATAACAGACCAAGAAAACCTTAATAAAATATAAAAAAAAAACCGCCTCCAATCCATTAAGGAGATTTTCTCTTCACATCAGTCTACTCGGAATTTTAGATCATTTAATCTGTTATGATGTTGATTTGGGGTTAGTAGAGACAAACGCCAAATAACACGTAACAATAAAAAGGGTTTTAATAGGTTGGTAAAAAGGTACAGAAATCGCCTGAGTAGTCAATAACTAGCTCAGCTAAGAACTTCTCTGTCTATCTGTCTTAGTATTTATCGATCCACCCACGAGGATTGAATATGGCACAAGGCCGGTTTAATGTGGGTATCTCCGAGCCCGTAGGCTCGGCCAAAAATATAGCCTTTGAACCCGCCTAGACAGGTTCAGGCCCTGTCTACCTCCCCGGACGAAACCTTGCCCTTCGGCAAAGCTTCGTCCGGGTTCCTCTCTGCTAATGCAGAGAGTTCGACAGACGTCGCTTACAGTCAAAGACTGTATCACGACTCAGAGGTCTTACCCTCTCTGTCTTCCCCATGTCAATTGACATGCCACTATTTAAAGTCTTTGTTCGCAGACAAGTTCATCTTCAAGAGGCGTGTTAGGTTTCCGACACAACATAATCCAATCATTTTCTGAAGTAAATTCATGTCGGACGAATTTTGTATTTTTGTAATGACATTAGATTATTACTCTCTTGAGTGTTTAGAATGATAACCAAGAAATTTTATAGATCTGACGCATGAATAGTATTATGGGAATATAATGTGTATATTTACATTGTTCGGACAGTTGTCCTGATCGTTATTACCATATTCACTAGGTTTCGGCCGTTATACGCTCCTGCCTTCTTTAGGTGATTAGAATTTCGAATCTAACCCTTTATTTCGTCCACCGGGGTAGGTTTCTGGGCAAGGAATTTAACCACTGATTGTGGAGGGAACAAAACTCGTCTCCCAGAAGCAAATAAATCGCAATAAACAATCCTGGCATTGCAAAAGGAAGCTTTTCCATATCCAGCATCATTTCTTTATATGTTAGCTTCATACTGTAGCATATTTTGCTTAATGAAACATTTTTTTTGTTTGCTTATAATTTCGGACATTTTCAAGAGACTGTGAAATTATAATATTTGATGGAATCAAAAACTAATTCCTTCTTCTATGATGGAGTGAAAAATTTAGCAGAAAGGTTAATATTAAATAATAATGACAGGTTATAACTTGTTTTCGAGCGCACCCGTCTGGCAAGGCGGCTAACCAGACTCTATTACGGACACCTAATCAACCCACGGTCTCCGCCTGTGGATTATATTCCAACAATGTTGAGCGGACATTAGTTACAGCATCTGGGAGAAAGTGCATAATTTGGACTGGTCAAATAGGTCTTAACAGACAAGACACTTGGGCTCAATGGCATGTGACTTCCCAACTATAGGCGGCTTCCAAACGATTCCGTCCAGCCAATTTCACTCAAAAGGCTTGAATTAACCCGTGGAATGGTTTTCAGGCAAAATGTGCCACACGCTGGGGTCGCTTCCTCAGGCCGATATTAGCGCCATAAGAAAAACGACTATGATTAGACTCGAACCGTGATGAAATTCGAATAAAATAATTCATTTCATAAAAAATATATATATATATATATATTAGTTCCACAGGTAGGCATTGAAAGGCAATTTTAGTTATTTCAGGTGATTGTTATATTTATTGGAGTACTGAATTAAAAATTCTAAAATATTTTCCCTTTTATCTTTTCTTATTTCTCTCCATGAAATCGCGCGAAACACTAAGTTATTTTATTCTAATTGCGATATCATTTTGAATTCAGTACATTCTAATATTAAATCCATGTTTAAAGCAAAAAAAAAAAAAATCAGTATGTTACAATATAGCTGTAACACAATAGAGCGATAATTCATGCCATTGGAAAACCTGGTGTTATATTGTCTGGTTTTATCACTGTTACATTAGTTTAATTATTGTTGTCCTATAAAATATTTTTTTGCTGAATATTTACCGAATAAAAAACTCAAGAATAACTTAAGGTACAGGGTTATGGGATGGGATTTTTGTATGGATTTAAGAGGAGGAAATAAGTGCATAACCTGGGGATATTTAAGAAAGATAGCGGTTGACCATTTTCCACAATGTAGCAGTTGCAAACAACAGGGCTTTTAAGAAGCGACTTAAACAAAGCTTAATATGAATCTTTTGACAGCAGAACAGCTTCTGGATTTATCATGTTAGGTCCGATGATTCAATGGGAAATAAGCTGTATGTTCTTTCTTTTTGATTATTCTTTCATAAACAATAAAAGTCCTTGACTTTGGTGAATTACCCAAAGAAAACATATGGCATGTCGTGTCACGGTTGTAAAGGTCAGAATTGGCGGAACTGATGAATATTTAAATGTGTGAACATTTTCTATAGAAATAGAAATAGAATAGTTATTGTGACGTTTTCTTCATGGAGAAAGGGGCCGTAGTGTTGAAAATAATTCATAGCCCACACGTCATACTGCTAAATCATAGTTTTTTTTTTGGGGCAAGTGTATCTCTGCTCTGATAGAAAAACAAGGTAGTCGATTTTGATTGGCTGAGCCGACGTGAGAACGATAGATAATTAAAGGGATTTCAGGGAGTTGTTTCTAAACTGTCAAAAAATGTAGACGTGTTTTTTCTTCGTGCCTAAAACGTCTCCCTAGTGGAGGGAGAGAAAACCCACTGGAAAGACAGAAATCTATACGTGGGCGTTAATAAAATAGTTAAATTAAAATTCACTTTGCTGATGTCTCTTATCTCTGGACCTCAAAAGATTTCGCAACCCAGATATATACACACACACACATACACACACACACACACACACACACACACATATATATATATATATATATATATATATAGAGAGAGAGAGAGAGAGAGAGTGTACAACATAGTATTAAATTGCCGGCGATGACCTCCAAGCATGAGAAAAGGAGAAATGCAACAATACTAATTTTATTTTTTTTAGAGATTGACTGGGATATTGTTGTTCTGTTGAGAGTTAAAATTTAAAGCCTGGACACTCACAGGATATACTGAAAGAAAAGAGAATCAGATGGAACAGTGCACAGTCTTTCTTATTGAGTTTGTGAGAATTGATTGCAAAACAAATATAAAGATGGATGATATAGGATAAAAATGTTAATGGTAACAGAAGTTGTGAGCAATGACCCTTCTGGAAAAAAAGAAATTTTAATAAGAATTTCTATCTAAATTCAGGAGTCATTTCCTTCTGTTTGCTTTTGCGTAAGTCAGTATTATTATATTATTGTATACTTATTCTTCTGTATATGGATTTCAGTATTTTATTTCGGGATGGAACGAATAATCAATAGATACTAGTAACATCTATATTAACAACCCAGATCTTTACTTTTTAACATTGTATAAATAGATTATAAAATGGTCGTGCAATTGTCATTTGAAATTTTTGGAACACAGGAATGAAGGTCTAGAAAATTCAATACTCATAAGATTTAATGAAGACAGGATAAAATGAGGAAACAGCGAGTAACCTAACGATTTCGTGTGAATGTATAGCAGAAAGAAAGTGAAATGGTAAACGGTAAAAATTAGTGAACGCAACAGAAAGCAGGAAGATGTGGACATCCATAATCACTTACATTCTGAAGAGAGACATGAAGAAATAGGAGAAAATATCTCTTTCGGAATTTCTGGTATGAGGAATTATTATTATTTACACTAGTTATATTCGGAATATTCTCCTCATCTTTGTTGATGTAATCACGTTTCGGCCATTGTCCCCTCTGTCAGGTGTTACCGAATAGGCGTACGCTTAATGAAGGCCGAAACGCTGCGATAACAAAAATAAAGCTGATGACAATAGTTCGAACGTAAATAGTGTAAATAAAGACAAAATATGTTCTTAATGATCATATTATAATGCGTAGAAATAGAGTCTTGTCTTGTCTTGTCTTGTCTTGTAACGGCATTCACCCGGGGTGGGTTGAGCCGGCTCCAATCGAATTAAGGACATCCACCCCCGACGATCGGCAGCAGAATCGACGGCATGATCGAGACATTCTCGATTCCAGCGCCGGACCATGAAAACGCGTGGACCGGACATGAGTTCCATATCTGCTTTGACCGTTGCGAGCTACGTCTTAAGTTGACCACCTCGGCGCTTCCTCCAACCAGTGGGTGCGTTTGGCGCCACCAGTTTACGGACGAACACATCACCAGTCCGCCGCAGCACGTGGCCAAACCACCGGAGTCTCCTGTTAAGCAGAGTTTCTTCCAGGCCCAGAATGTTGCATCTGGCGCGGATGAACGAGTTGGGGATGCGGTATAAATAGAGTGAATAGCCATAATCGTTTTTGCTATATTTGTTGGATGATTTGGTTTGTTTTGTTTTACGGCATATCAACCTCAGTGGGTCATTTAATGTCGACAACTTTTTTTTCTTGGTTATATTTTGTTTTGTCAAAAATCTATTTCTGTTAATATTTTTTCATCAAAAATGTATAGCTAGTAATATTATTTAAAAAAATGTATTGCTGGTAATATTTTTTACTAAAATATATTGCAGGTAATAGTTTTTTTTCTTGAAAAATTTATTTCTGGTAATAACTTTTTTACAAATTATTTCTGATATTAAAACCTATTTCTACACTTTCATAATGGTTTTTACCTCAGTTTCGGGGTTAACTATTTGCCCATAGCTAGGACCCTAAACGGTGCTACCAACCCAGGTCAGGGTGGACCTGGGAATAGCAGCAATCAAGAGGGGATTCCTCGCTCATCAAGACCTCCAGATCAGAGACTTTGCTGTTGGACTTAGTTTATCGTCTTACCCAGGACGCGGATGTAGTTTATCGTCATACCCAGCGCGGTATTTGTGGGAGTTCTCAAGCGTAAAAACATGACATTGTATAGACAGAACATATAAGACATTAAAGACATTACGCTTATACTGAAATAAAACTGGTAAGATTGTTTTGACGTACAAAGACGATGGATAAAAAGGAAAAATGAAGCAATTGCTTTTGGTATTCCATTGTATGAAGCGAAGAAACTAATCATAGTATCGATTTCTGTATTTGTTCTTGCAGAACATAATGAAGCAAGAAAAGAGAAAGATAAAGAAATCAATTAACCTAATCTTCCGGTAGCAATAACACCTGCACCACATGGATCTTCTCAACCAGTTACTATTTCACCTGTTAATTTAGATTATATATGAAAGTCGGCTGAAAAAGTTCATAGGCTGATCAAGATACTATCATAGAATGTGACCAAATGAGAATTTATTATTCAATATAGTCCCCCTTACGGTCCACACACTTCTTCCATTGGTTTTCCAATGTTTGGATCCCATCAGTGAAGAAGCTTCATCCTTTTAATAAGAATTTCTATTTAAATTCAGGAGTCATTTAGTTCTGTTTGCTTTTGCGTAAGTCAGTATTATTATATTGTTGTACCCTTATTCTTCCGTATATGGATTTCAGTATTTTATTTCGGGATAGAATGAAGAATCAATAGATACTAGTAACATCTATATCAACAACCCAGGTCTTTACTTTTTGACATTGTATAGATAGATTATAAAACTGATCGTGCAGTTGGCATTTGAAATTTTTGGAACACAGGAAAGAAGGCCTAGAGAATTCAATACTAAAAAGATTTACTGAAGACAAGATAAAGTTACTGAGCACAACGGAAAGCAGGAAGATGTGAACATCCGTAATCACTCATACTGTCGGTTAAAAAAGTTATCAACATTATATATGACTTCATCATCGTTGTGTTTCTGGTTCCCCGTCAAATGTTTTTTTTTCATGTTAGGGAACAGATGAAATAAGTCAAATAAGTAGAATAGTGTTATGTAGTGGTTTCACAGTGGAGGCTTGTTTTGGTCCTAAAATAGGTTCGACGTACAAAACGTTAGGAACTTGATATAATAGGTAATGACGCAGCAATCTAGTTGTGGTGGTTGATACTTTAATGTCCGACTAACGGTCGTCCGACATCGACTGACTCACCAACTCTATGAGCCGACTTCTACTACTCCTACTTATTATATGTGGGAGAGTCTATTAACTATAGAATAGGTGTGTTCCATTATAACAAATAGGGAGAGTTATCAACCAGTTCATAGCCACAGTCATGAAGATCAGCCACTGAAATCAAGGACTGATAAAACAAGCCAACTTTCAGTCAGTTTTCTTTGTCGTTTAGTTTCGATAGTCTTTCGTAATTGCCTCAGCATTTTTGGCATAGTACTCTCCATTGATGATATTGGCCTTTTGAAGATATTCCATAAATAGAATACCATTTGCATCCCCCAAACCTGAAGATATCGCCTTCTCTTGGCTTTGAGTGGAGCCGGGTTTTCCACTTCATGGAAATGTTATCTTTGTGATGAACCCAACATTCATACTCGGTTAGGAAACGTTAAAGAAACCAACTGGATCTACCTAAAAAAAATATCAGATTTTTCAGTGACTGGATCAGCCTGGTGCGCTTTTGATCAGGTGTCAGAAGACGTGGCACCCACCGAGCAGATATCTTCATTATGTTAAGTTCATTGTGAAAAATATACGCAACTCTCTCACGGGTTATGTCAATAGCATTGGCTATTTTATTTATAATCGGTCACTTGATATCGATCACCATGTGGTGAACATGATGAACGTTTTCCTAGCTGGTGGCATGTGCATGTCGTCCAGACATTTGGTAATCTTCCTTTCCCTCCTAAATGAAGCTGTCCACTTTTGCAGTGTTGATAAATCTGGAACGTCATCCTTTAATTTGGCTGCGATATTAGCAAAGAATGATTCGGGGGGGGGGGGGGGTTGCAGGTACTTGATAACACCACAATGCCAAATTTTGTTCATTTTCAAGAGAAGTCGTTACTCGTTACTTCTTAAATCCTTTGAACTGTCAAATGTCAGTTTACCTGTAATGGAAAAAATGGAGTTATTAATAAGAAGGGTTGAAATTAATGCGTGCAAGATATCATTGCTGTAGCATTAGTCATTCATAGTCAGCCTATGAAGTTTTCAATCCACTCTCGTAGTTTTCGTAAGGCAGTCGCCGCATTCAGAGTGGATTAATGGAAACATGTTATTCTCCTCGATAAAAAACACAGGAAGAATAATATAGAAAAAAATTTGGAACTTTCTTGTTTTGCTCTCCCCCCGCCCCCCATTCACCCTATTTACCCGACATTCCACCGATATTTTTCGATCGCTGTTAAACGGTTTGATGGGGGACGTAACGAAAACCAGATTCAACAGTTCGTATTAAAAAAAATTTTCTAAGATATATGAGTTGGTTGATAAGTGGCAACAAGTTATTGTAAATGATGGTGAATATATTAGTGTATAAAATCTAATTATGCACCCTTGTGCAAATTAATTGAAACAAAACGAATAATCCCGTTATTATTTTTATATTTTTCCAATGAAACATGACCTAGTGCACATCTTAGTACTTCGTATCTCCATTCCACAAAGTCTTTCCTTGCAGTTTGACCACAGATTCTCGATTGGATTTAAATACGAGAGTTTCTGGGCCGGTCTAGTACTTTGATTTGCTTACTGGAATGTTTTGCCAGTGTCTTCGTGCAGCGTTAAATTTTTTTGTACACCTCCTTGGAGTAATGTCCTTCGCAGACAATAGTCATAGGACAACTAATCGACAGTCGAGACAATGGTGTCTGGGCTTGTAAAAATCTGATGCAATCGCGGTTGACGCAGTATTTGTCAAGGCCAAACAATTTTCATCGTACACCCAGAAAATAGATTCATAGTATTGCACACCAATGCAAGTGACCTAATCTGAGAAAAAATAGAAATCGATTACACCCAGTCACTCTAGCGGGTCTAGAACTGACCTTATGTTGAAAGAAAGGAAGCTAAAGCAGTTGTTTCAATTAATTTGCACGAAGATGTACCTTAATCTTTGAAGAATAAAAACAAAACGGAAATTGTTTCTGACTAGACCGAATAAAACTTGTACCTTATATGTGGAGACAATAAAGTTTTGTGAATGTTACTTGTTCAGCATTTATTGTATATTCTAATGCCTTATATGAGTAATACATCAGGCTCCAAGTTTTATACTGGATTCAGAAGCAAAGGATATGGATATACAGATTGCTCTTCCAAAAATAATCGAACCTAACATGAAGAATACGGAAAATACTCTGCTGTCAAAGATTTATATTAGGCTTGGTTTATTGAAGCAGCTTAATAAAATCCCTGTCAGTTGAAATAGAAACATTCCAAATGACAGATCTTTTGGTAAGGCTTTTTATAAGTGCTGACGCCTTTTAATACGTAATGACGTTTACCCTAAACCCAACAGGAACTGTGAAGTTGTAGATATATAAATCCTAATAAATCATTTCTAACAAAGTATAGAAAATTGAACTCGGAATAGGCTGCGATAGGGGTATTGTTACCCCAAAGCGCAAGACGACTTTGGACCATAATATTGAACTAAAATTTGAGTCATGTTCTTAAATAGCTACATAAGATCTAAATCCTCATATAGATTATATACAAAGCGTCCAAATCATTCAGAAATATCTAAATGTCATCTGTGCAGAACCATTTTCTTCGATCAATTATTAAATATTGCTTCAAGTAATTAGACCCTGACTATCCTTCATCAGATCGTATAGACTGTCGACAAAGAGTCACAAACAATGAATTTTATCGAATAACAGAAACCATATCACTCGTAGGCATCCAACAGCAACAACAACTAAAATGGAAATCACATGTAAATGGAAGAGAAAACAATAACATAATCAAAATGTTGAATTTCCAAACTACTTTATGAATAAGGTTTCGAATTAAACCATCATTAATATTAGAAATAGCGATTATAGTGATCTTAAAAGCCTAATTTTCTCAAAAAATCATTTAAGAGAAAGATAGCATAAATTTCAATCGACAGTTACGCTAACCGATTGGTCAATGAATGCCCAATGTTTCCTATATGGAAACATTTCTTCTCGGCCTTACCATTAACTATCAAAAGAGGAAACCTATTTTATCCATTTGTCCGAAACGTTTCCTAGTTTTCCTGAAGCTAACCTGAAAGAAAATGTAATTAGAAATCTGAAGAACTCGGTGAATGACTAGAGCAATTGTCAAGAATATCATACAAACAAGTCGACTCTAACTTCTTAGTTAATGACAAAGATACAGATTACAAACTTAGAGAAATTCCGTTGCCTCCAATATTAGGAAAGGAAAGTTTAAAAATTCTATGGATTCAATCGTCATTAACCTTCTGAAGATAGTGTTTTACACTTGAAACTTTGTATAAATA